TGCGCGAGTACTTCCACGTCTGCGCGAGTACCTTCCACGTCTGCGCGAGTACCACTTCAGAGGGCCGGATCAGTCTGGAAGTCAGAGTGACTGGTTGAATCTCTAGGTGAGAACAATTTGTCTTGTGTTGGATCAAAAGTTTCAACTTGAAACACTCTCCCATCCTCATGCTGTTTCTATTTCACCACAGGGTCCGTACTTCTGGGACTCTGCGCCTGACTGGCCCCGCGGCATTCACGTGCGCGTGTTTGACGAGATCTCCGGGATGCACGTCAGCACGGACAGGTTCGACACCCAGGTCAGCAGGGACGAGAGCCTGCGTCTGGCGGCCTTCATCGACCAGGTTCCCGCCGGGAAAGTCGTGGCGCTGGCGCTGGTCAACACCGCGAACGGCAACCTGGAAGCCACAGCCAAGCAGAAGATAAGGGAACTGGGAAGTGTCGAGGTGGACTCCCTGGCTCGCAGGTACCATGCTGATAAAACTCCTGCTGACAAGCCCCTATCGGTACCCATATTATCACTGTCCCTGTGGCCCCGTTTAGCGTCGGTCACAACCGCCGTACGTGCTTTTGTCCGTAGATTTTTTGGGAGGCTACGTCTGCTACGTTTTTCTGAAAACGTGGGGAAGGAGTGGCATCGACGCACGTCACTCGCACGGTTGCGTACGATGTACGAATGTGGTCTGCACGCCACGTCTGGCCGTGAGCGGTTGCGTGCATCGTACGTTGCGCAAGTGGTAAGTGAGTTGTACGTGCTTACAACGTACGATCTCTGTGCGATCGCAACTTTACCGTAAGAGGGCCGTACTCACACGTGCTGCTTACGTACGTGGCACGCGCGTCGCCCGTACTCGCACGTACGGGAGGTGAATCCGCAGACCGCACGCAGAAAAAGTTTTACATGCACTTTTAAAAAGTCCTACGGCGTGTCTGCGAGCTCCCAAATCCGTAGGATTCCGTACGGAGCTGGTACTCACCACAAACGGATGCCCTACGTTTGCCCACGTTTTTGCACGTAGACAGCACGCAGAAGCACGTACGGCGGGTTGTGACCAACGTTTTACCTGTGTCCTCATGCCCGTCTACGTATAGGTACTTGACTGTGCTCTTAATCAGTTTTATGTATCAGAGGTCTCAGTACTAATTGTTTATGTGGGCGCCCGGGCGAATCTATTTTGCATTTTATACTTCACTGTCCTTTATATGATTAGCAGAGACCATCGGGCCTTATCGGCAAAGTTGCAGATCTACTTCGTCCGATCATAAGGCCACACCGCCTTAATTTTATGGATGACACCCTCTGAAGATCTCCAAACTAGTGCGCGCGGGCGAATAAAAAAAAATCCGGCCAAAAATAAAAAATTCTACTAAACCACTGGAATTGCTGGTATTGTGAATTTGTGGCAGTACTTAGCGACGTATAGCGACGGTCACAACTCGCCGTGTGTGCTTTTTGTCCGTACGTTTTTGTCGTGGCTACGTCTGCTACGTTTTTTCTGCAAACGTAGGGTGGCCGGCCGAGGGAGTACGTCACTCGCACGGTTGCGCAAGGTGTACGTACGTGGTCTGCACGACACGCCTGGCCGTCAGCGGTTGCGTGCATCGTACGTTGCGCAAGTGGTAAGTGAGTTGTACGTGCTTACAACGCACGATCTCTGTGCGATTGCTACGTTGCCGCGTACAGGCCGTACCTACACGTGCGGCGTACGCACGGTTTCCTTATTCACTCGCAAGTTGTAAGTGCGTGCACCTCCTGTTAACTTCATCATCACTAGCCGCCCTGGTGTCTTCCGCGGCCCGTTTCTTTGGGTCTTGTCTGGTAGTCTTCTTCTGAGCCTTCCTGGGCATCTTGGAGACGAGTTGGCAGTCACCCGTCAAGTTGTCTTTATATACTGTAGAGATCAGGTGCGTTGCACGTGCGGAGCACCTGGTATGGTGCACGTGTGTTCTGCGTGGTCATTGAGCAGGTCAACTGGGAAGTGAGGAGTAAGCACGGATGCCGCAAGCACCGTGTGTGGCACGCACGTGCTTCGTGCGCTGTCCGTACAGCAATTGCACGTGAGAATAGTGAAGTTAGACTCACGGAGTCCGTACGTTGCACGCTCATAGGCTGTACGGGGCACGCGCGTCGCACGTACTCGCACGCACGGGTGGTAAATCCGCAGACCGCACGTAGAAAAAGTATTACATGCACTTAAAGTTCTACGGCGTGTCTGCGTGCTCCCAAATCCGTAGGATTCCGTACGGAGGTGGTACTCACCACGCACGGATGCCGTACGATTGCCCACGTTTTTGCACGTAGACAGCACGCAGAAGCACGTACGACGAGTTGTGACCGTCGCTTATCCGACAAGCCGGCACATGCGGAATTTATGAATCGACACCGTACGTATGTACTGAGTTCTTGAGTCGTGGAGCTTCGGTAGCCTGGGTGCCCGGCTCCATATTGTCGCTAACTACCATGGACTACCAAGGCCTAGAGCTAGGCCAGAGCCTCAGTGGACGTGATCTTTTTTTTTTGAGAACAGGCGAAAATCAATGCGCGCGCGGATGTCATCCATAAAATAAAGTCGGTGTGGCCTGATGATAGTAACTTAAATAACGCCATAGCTTCTTGAGTTATGCTGTTGCCATACGTACCCACACCACAGCCTGTACACCATGGCTAAACCTTAAACATACCTTTCAGGCGAGGGTAATAAGAACAGTTACAATTCAGATGCATTAACAGCGGTAATAAACAATTAACAACATAACAAAAGAAGGTAAACAATTCAGATGCATTAATAGAGGTACTGGATGTAATGTTATACATAGAAATATATCGTGAAACGCACATGCATCATGAAAGTTCATCTGTGTTGGTAGTTACATGTTTAGAGTTGAAACTTTTGGCCCAACACTAAAAAGTTATCTCACCTAGAGCTTTCGACCAGTCACTCTGGTCTTTCTCAGTAGACTGACCCAGTGAAGCTTGTCACGTGGCTTCTTTGAAGAGTGACGTCAACACTGGGTCAAAGGTATCTGGTAGACGATGTCGGCCCCCGTCGCGGTTCAATAACCCTTCATTGAGAGTGACGAGTGACTGGTCGAAAGCTCTAGGTTTTTTGTGCTGGACAAAAACTATAAACACACACATACATATACTTGTTGCATTATTTGAACGTCACAGGCAGCCATGGGCGCTGGTCAGTGTGAAGGGTGACCCCAGCCTAGCCGTGGAACAAAAACTTCCGTATGTGGGTACGTACTAGTCTCTTTTGACCATATACACTACAACTGCAACTAGAGAAGTAACATTTGCAAAGCAAATGCATACGGTTTACCTTCGGACATGGTCTGCTCTGTTAATTCTTACTCAAACATATTCACATACATATGCTACTAGAATATGATGACAGGAGCAGAGCAGACCGTGAAATTGCAACATTATGTAACCCAACACCAGTCACCATGGTGACAGGCGTCAACAAATCATGTCATTGGTCAGGTCATAGGTCACTGTTTGGAGAAGAAGAAGAAGAGGAAGAAACAGAGCAAAAACAATATGTTTTCCTTCGGTAAACATAACAATTGGGGTTGGCACAAAGGTACGATGGTAGTAACAGAAAAGTGATTGTTTGGTGGTTGTTAATGAAGACAGCGGAGGATGAAATACATTTTTATTGCCTATTGCACTCATTACAGCACTGAAAGAGACAAGTTATTTGAAATACTAGTAGTCACCTTCATGTTTCCTAGCTTTATTCACCCTTACAGGCAACAAAAATCTGGATGCATGTCTATGAACACCTCATAAGGCCACAGCAAGTAATTTTTATGGATGACATCAGCGCGGGCATTAATTTTCGCCTGATTTTGGAAAAAACAAAACAAAAATTTTGTTGCCCTCTGACAGTGGTCACCATGCCGAAAATTGACAAAGATGTCTGTTGGCATGCCGGAAGGGGGATGGCAGATGACTATGAAGAGAGGAGACAAGAAAAGGCTCTGATTTAATGTTTGGTTTTTTCCTTTGGTGCAGTGATATGTGATGTTGGCTGTGTATATGTGATGTTCCCACTGAATCAAAACCATTTGTACAATGACTGAAACAAAATTTTAAAATGAAGGAATCTTGTTTTTTTCGGCCGCCTTTTTTTCGCCCGATCGCATTAGATTTGGAGTGTGCGGAGGATGTCATCCATAAAATAGTATTTTACCGTCATTTTTAAATTACTATTATTATTATTGTAAATAAATGTTCTTGCAATTAACTCTCGTACATGAATTTGCAATAAAATTTTCTATTTCCCGTCTTGCCCTCCAGATGACCAGACCACCGGCACGGCCACCGCTGCGGTCACTCTTCAGGCGTTTTTCGGTTCTTACGTGGTCACTGCGACTAGTGAATGGCTCGGAGGTGAGGTGTAGTTACTCTCCAAGCAGAGGTTTGGGCTTCGGCTTACTTTTGGTGTCTTTATCGGGCTTTCTTTTTGTACTGGCCCCCGACACGTACACTCAGGCCTATATTGGGCAGATCTTGTGAACTGAAATCTGTAGCCCATCTGTACTTGATGTAATCAAAGAACATACAACAGCTCCTCGGACAGATTACAATTGCCCACTTATCTGTACACCGTAACAGATGCAGCGTATTGCGCCTAACTATTTGCCATGGCGCAGCCAACCATGGTCGAACCAACAGTCCGAAACATTCGGCTGGTAGCCATGCCAAACCTGGCTAACCTGTCTCCCGATA